GCAGCATGGCCCTAGAAACGGAGAGGATAGTCTGTGAAGACAATAGCAATACCAAAGATAATTTGTTCTGACCAAGTTAAGAATATCAGTCACTCATAAGAAGAAAAAATAACCAACCTTTGAGAGCACAAAGCGGTCGTTGCACTGGTTACGAGGGTCTTCGGCTTTATAGCGCATGGTGTTGAAGAAGAGCACAGACATGAGCTCTGCTGCACTGCAGCAGGATGTGGGGTGCCTGGGGAGAGGAGAATATATGTACTTTAAATAAAACATCACAGGAAAAATACGATTATTTAGATCCCAAATCGTGCACATGCATGTGTTGCTACATTCAGGAAACCGCACACTTGGTTTTAGTTTGACATTAACGGTCATTTCTGAAAAGGCATTCAAATGGATACATTTAACAAGCAATTATTTACAAATGTTCAAAACCTCACATATTTTGGTATTAGAACCACGCATGAAAATATAATGTTAATCTCTTAACATGATATCACTTATATATTTTCACACTCTAGTGCAATTATAAAAATAAAAATAAAGCACATTTGTGAAACTGTTAGTTGCAGCATAGTGGTTCAAGTATTGTAAGGGACATGTTTAGAAATCCCACAATTCTCAAAAGCATAGTTACTTCCCTAAGTGGGTTAAATCACAAATGCCATTTTGTTCATGCTGGAACACACGGTTATCTTGATCGAACACACATGATGTTCGTTGTTATATTTCACAATCAAAAACCCAGTGCTCTGTTTACCCAATTTCCTTTTGTTGAGTGATAACCTGCCGAGAAATAGACTTAAGTAAATTCATAAAAGCCGTTATCAAAGCAATCAGATACTCGTGTTTAATGTTCCATATCAATAAAATAATGACAACAGGTGTTGAGTGGTGGATGTCAAAAATCAAAAGCATCTTTGTTAAGGGAAACAGAATCACATCTTCAGTTTCCTCATTGTCCGGACCTTCAGGTAACAGTTCTTCCATTTCTTTGTCAGTTGATACAAGGAAGTACCAAAAACCGGTTAACCAACAAACATTTCCTTTCTGAAGGTTTAAGTTGCACAAGTAAATGACTGGGATATTACACAATTCTGGGGGTTTTGGAGAATGCAGAGCAAATATATACTATGGAGAACTCTAAACGTGATGAACATGGCCAGGTGATTGTCAGATCATACATTTGACTTTTATCAAACTTTGCAATCTTTGTAATCAATTTTAAAATAAAATGAGCAGTAATCATACAGTAAAGTGAATATACAATTTTTTAGGAACGTAAAAGGCCTAGACATTAGAAACAACTAAAGACTTAGACAACTACAGAATATTCTTTTAAAAATGTAAATATTTAATAGAAAGATTTGCTCTAATGATAAACCGCCGTGTTCTCAAACATGTATTCTGTTTGAGAACACGTGTGTTTTACAGGGCTCGACATTAAGGACTGCCCGATGGCCCGGGGCCATCTAGTATTTAGCTCGGGCAATGAAGCCTCACCTGCTGGTTGCCCAATCGGGCAATCTATTGTGCCAGTATCATGCAGCTTGCGGATCCAGTAATGAGTGACCCGACAGTAAAACTAAACATATCTATAACTAGTTTAGGTAGTTTGAGAGGTAATTAAAATAGCTACGTGTGATATTCTAACCTGAAGTGTGTGTTTTGTCCGCTCACCGCTGCATGTGATCATGCAGAGCTGCGTGTCCACTCGTCAGCCTGCTCAGCTGATCTCTCTCTCCCGTCAGATTAGACTTCACTCGCGTTTATGTCAATATCGATCAGATTCAGCTAGTTCTAGCTAATGATGACTACCTGCTTATTAAAAGACACCTACACAATAAGTGTCGCTATGCAACTGGGTAAGGCCACAAAGTATAGCGCAGCATTATGTATTTGTTTACATGCCCACCGGAACCCCGAGGCATTACCAACAGATCAACGCACAATCAACCCACACAGGACATCTCTTTCTCCACATTACGTGTAAGACATTAGAATTGACTATTCTCGTCTGTCACATACTCTTTTGTCTGTCACATAAGTGGCGCAACTGAAGCGGTATTGCGCTAAAGGGAAATTATTTTGACCGGACATTTAGATTTGCCGGCTAATGGGAACTATGACGTCGCCATTTTGTGTGCTTCGCGGATGCGCTCGGCTCCTCTCGACTGCTGCTCGGTCAGCTTCCGGATGAGGAGGCATTCGTTCGACCAACTTACAGTAGATAACATTACAAACATTTTTAACAGGGGCCATACTAGTGTAAATAATGTTTGTTTTGGCATTAATAACTGAATGTAATGTTTTCTACTTTTTTACATCTGGGAAGGCATTTGCCTTCATCAGATGGAAAGTGTCTTGACCAACAACTTAAGTATTTCTTATAGCTATGCAGGGCATGCAAGCGAGCAAACACAAACAAGAACAAACAAACAAGTGAAATGAAGAATAAAATTGAAATTGTACAATACAATATTGTGGTGGTTCATCTTATAATTCAGTCTAGAGAATGCACCAGACAGCATCTAAGACCTGCAAAAATCAAAATTTTCTAGGGGGACGGAGGCCCCCCAAACCCTTCGTGCCATTTCGTCCGCGCGCATTTTTCAGGGCAATCTCTATTGGGCTCAGGGCCATCTGTAAATTAGCTTAGATGGCCCACAGGGCCATCTCCCAAAATCCTTAATGTCATGCACTGTTTTAACTGGATGTCAAATGGTTCATGCTACATTATTTTGTGCAGTCTTAAATTCTGTCAATTCTATAAACTTCAAATCGCGAGACTTTAAAACACTATGTTTGTATATCCATATAACGGGGTGAAAGAAAAGCTTTGGTGCTTAAAGAACAATTGGAAAATGTGGCGTATTTTGTCCTTTTGTGTACTGAATGCTAATAAACAAGACACAACGAATGAAATAAACTATAAAAGTGTTCCATAAAGAAACTTATTTTCTGTAAAAAGCTAAATAAGACAACAATTATATAGTTAAAAACCTTCCTGCACAGAGGTTTAACAGATGAACATGATAGTATGGTACATGTGACAGCCAGCTAATGAGTGTCAACTGAGCGTCTTCCAAAACGCATTATGTCAATTACAGGCAGTTTTGATGCATTGTGAAAGAGTAGATTGCATTAATGTTCTGGGTGTAGAATAGGCCGAACACAGAATACTATGGGGCAAAGGGCAGCCTTCATAATCTCAGTGTTAGTTACACCCCTGCAATAAGGAAACCCTGGAAACTGTTCCCGCCATAGTGACAATTGTTTGTAGCCTTTATTTAACCAGGTGAAGCCCCTTGAGATCAAAAGATCTCTTTTTCAAGGGTGACCTGCAGTGGGAGGAGGAGGACTGCAGGAGGACAAAAGCTTCTGCGAATTCAGGTCAAAACTACAGGTGACCATTTGACGTGTGTGTCTATCATACTTGACAGATTCCCTTGAAATAAATTCAAACTATTATGTGTGCATATGCATCTCTCTTGCATTTTAACACGCAGCTGCTTTAAATTAAAGTGTGAAACTGACCACGAGATTCCCCCTGCATGATCATGTGGTGCTAGAAGCAGGCTGTTGCTATAACGACATATTTCATCTAGCAACCTTGCTAGTAACATTTCAGAGTTATAAAAGAGAATGAATTATCAGCTCAATAGCACTGAAGACTACTGTATCCAACCTTATTATTGATACAGACCCTGCCATTTGGTGTCATTTATGGCACAAACTGTTAGCTTATGCTAGCCTAAGCATTGACTAAAGACCTAGACACATTTAGCTCAAAAAGGAGCTTAACATGTTTATGAAACAGTTAGCATAAGTACTTGCTAGCTGTCTGCTTTGGCCACACTTTGCACGGTCTGCACCGCGTGAAGATAATCCGCTGCACGTGTAGACCCCGCAGGTAAAGTGAACTACAGTAACGCTACACTAACTGAATACTTTTCTCATGTGTAACGTAATATTAACAAACAAGCCACTGTAACTTTGAATGACTTACCCAGAGTTGGAGGCGCATGTCGCCTTGATGGAGTTGATCCTGAGCTTGTTAGCGATGTCTTTCAGTCCCTGAAGGGTTTTCTCATCGGGTTTGTGGTAGCTAGTCATGGTTGCTGGATTGTTTCTTGAGAACAGCGCTTGCTAAATTAAGTTTTTATTTTGTTAATCACACAGGTGCTTGCCAGGTTTGTAGGTTCAAAGCTGCGCTGCGCCACGCCGCTGCTAGCTGCCCAAGTACAACTGAGGAGGAGGTGGAAGGGAAGAGAGGACGGGACTTATGTGACATGTCTCTTCTCTCAGACACGCCCACCTGACCCAGTCATTGGAGGAACATTTACGCACGAGACGTTTCTTTCAGGACTCATGTTCAGCCCATTAAAGTTACAGACACATAACACACAGGTGGTGATAGCTTTTCATTTCCTTTGCAATGAGCAAATCACTGTGGACGTGAAACACGAGTATTAATCGGTATTAATACAGATAGACACAATGTAAAAGACAGTTGAGTAGTTATGGCTTTGTTTTTGAAATTATCATGAACGACTGAAATTGCATCCACCACTTTGAAGACATAAAATGGGCAATCTTTTCAAAGAGTGGACTTCCTGGTTACGGCAACAGTACTATGTTAATGTGTGGCAAGTAACATTAACTTTATTAGAAATATTGTATTATCAGAAATAATGTGCATACTATGTATTTGTATTACAGTTTAGCTCAGTGTATAAGACTAAACATAAGAAAGGATTTCCACACATATCCATTGCATGTGCCTGTCTCTTTAACGCTGAAGCTGGATGGCTGCCAACAGCAATATGGTGGTGGATTTTGCCCTCTCATCCTTACTCAGGATGCCGCAGGCAGCACAAGGTTCAAACACACTCTTTTTCTCTGCCTAGTCACTGAAAGGTTGCTTTGTCACAGCTTGACTGTCAGCATTTTCACACTTTATGTCAATAAACACCACAGAAATAAACGTTTTCAAATGTTTATTATTGAAAAAATAAATAGGCTGTTAGAACATGACAACAATAATCCATAATGTAGGCAACACATTTACAGATACAAATACAAGAAACTGAAAATATACAGTATACTACAATACGTTTCAACACACCCACCTACAAACACCAACCCAGTGTTTTCAAGGTAAAACACTTCCTCATTGCAATCTTATGGCCCAGACATTTCCTCTTTCAGTTCCTGGAATGAAATACATGCAGTAAGAAAAAAAACAATAGAGCAGAAATGTATGCCTGACCATGCCAAATAGAGAAATAAGGTGTGTCTTAGCTTTACCTTGATTCTCTCCTTGGCCTGAGCCACCTCCTCAGGGGAGACAGGATCTTTGTCAATTCGCTCCAGCTGTGTCAGGAGCATCAATACACTCAGCCTGTAGTCTGTCGATTCCACCAGAGGATTATCAGTAAGCACCAAAGCTCGCAGAGTTTTTGACACAAGTGCGAGGCTTTTCAGGGCATTCTCTTCTAATATTGCATTGCCTCTAAGGGAGAGAGACGGAAGCATTTAGGATAAACAATCTTGGATATATAGATTTCTTTGGTGTTTTACTGCCTTGATGACAGTCTATGTTGTTCACATGTGTACCTGACATTGAGGTATTGGAGACACTTCATGTTGGGACTGAGGCCGTCCAGAGTTTCTAGCTGGTTGTCTCGAAGGTGAAGTGTGGTGAGGCGTTCCATCCTCTCTAAACCCTCCAGATGCTTGATAACATTTTGGGCCTGAATGGAAAGTAAGACAAGTTACAGGCAGTCGGCTGAATGAGATTGGTGTTAATGGCTTAACCTCATCAAATGTGTTTGTTATATTTATCAAATGGTATTTTTTTTATTACCAGATATAATTGCTGCAGGTTGGGAAGGTTAATGCCATCAGTGGTATCCAACTGGTTTCCCCTCAGCTCCAGAGTTACCAAGTTGGCAAAACAGCCACTCTGAAAACCATTCAATCTCTGAATGCCATTACCTGCCAGAGTTCACAAAATGTCAAGATATCTGTTTTATATCATGCAGATGGTAAGATTGTCTTGCGTCAATCGACTAAATGAAAGCCCACCATTATAATAGAAACATCACATATTCTGACATGAAACCAACAGACCAACCTGTAAGATTGAGGCTCTCCAAGGCAGGCCCAACCAGGCCATCCAGTTCTGTTATTCTGTTCCCTGCCATACTCAGCCGCTGCAGGTAGGTCAACTGAGCAAAAGGTTGCCCTTTGAAGCTTGCAACAGCATTATTGTCAACCTATTGAATTAAAGATTTTCCATAACTTTGAATGAATTGTACTACAGGCCCCAGAGATCAGAATGAATACAGAATACGAGTCCTTGCCTTCAGCCAGAGCAGATGGGTCAGAGATTCCAGATGAGAAAGATCAGTCAGCTGGTTGTTGGATATATCCACGAAACGTAGGTGGATAAAACTTCTGATTGAAGCAATGTCATTCAGTCCTCTGTGGAGTGACAACAAATTGAAGAAAATCAAAAACATAGCCACAGATGAACAATGATAACCTGAAAATTAGTATTACCAGTCAAGCAAAGGCAACCCATTTAGCTCTGTATTTTTGTTCCCTTACTTGTCTATTAGGTCCACTTTGACGAATGCATGTCCAAGTCCATTTCCTGTTCGGCAAAGCAATGAGAGCCCCTGACCAATGGTTTCTTTTGTCAAATGGCAAACCTGTACCTGTGAGAGGAAATACATCACAGGATTATACTTCAAAATTGTTGTGGTGGAGCTAATTTACAGTGGATCAAATCTACCAAAGAACCCCATCAATGTTTGTATGCGGCTCAGCCCAGACACAAGCTCCTCTTCATGATAGAGCTTCAGAGAAACTAACTTTTTGCCATAAATAAAGCCTACCATGTAGACATTCAAGTGATTTATTTACAAATAATGCTGTAACTCTTTTTAATAAGGGTACACTATAGCTACTTAAGTTATGCTTTATTGATGCATGGCTCATTATAATTTCATGGCAGGCTGTTTCATGGATTCACGTTGCTCAACACATGATCAAGTCACTGTGACTTAAGATAAGATAGAGATAAGATAGAGCTTTATTGTCTCCCTTAGGAGAAATTTGTCTTGGGCATCGAGATAATACACATAAAACATTCAGGTCAATCAGTCATAGATACAGAACAGAGATCACAAAGAAACAAACAAGAAACATACAGGTACAGCACTTTCCCTATTGCACATATCCCTATTGAACATTCATAATCAAAAATGTATAGATCACACTTAATATATCCCCAATATGGCAAATAATGAATGTTACTTCACAATTATTGAATACACTAATTGCTAGCTACATTACCATGTTTCTGCTCAGCAGCATATTAACTGTTCTCCTAGAAATATGAAGTTTGTTTGCCCAAAACGCTTTCAGTTGCCACATTTACAATAAGATGTTGAGTTGTTATTTTCAATATTACATGAGTTATATAAAGTGTTTTTGTTTAAATTGGAGATAAGCATTGTAAAGAATAAATCGCTACAACCAAATGTGTAATTTGTGATATTTGACAATATAAATACAATTTGATTGAACCAAAGATTATCTACAGGTGCCACTTAGGGGTGTAACGGTTCACAGAATTCACGGTTCGGTACTACCTCGGTTTGGGGGTCACGGTTCGGTACGGGTTCGGTACAACAAGAAAAAGCACAAAAAAATCCCAAATGCATAATTCCAGGTTTGTTGTTATTTATTTTTGAACAGTAGTGCAAGTTTCAGTTTAAAAATAAGGAACTCTAACATTTTGAATAATTAACTGTATTACACTGTTAAAAACAAACCACAAACAGTACCCCACACACTCAGATGCCCAGATTATCTATAATGGCTGATGTCAAACAAAAAGGTTCAATAAACTGTAAAACTAAAAAGAATGTCTTGAAAATATTACATCATAAATAATAAGAAAGTGTTTCAAGAGCGCATAGCCGTTGAAATATGTATGCCATTCCGTTATTTATTTTATTTTGGTCTCTCAGCTTTCATGTCTATTGGCTTCTTAAAAACAGCAGGGATAAACTCTTGAACTGCTGTGTTGTCTTTTGCCGGGCTCCGGTGATTGGCAAATCTGGGTGATGACCTTCTGATATGATTTAGCATGTGTTACCATCCAAGCGGCAAACTGTGGGGTAGAGCCGGGAAGCCAATACGGAAGTGCCACACACTGCAGTTCATATATTGGCCGATAGGCGATGGCTGCAGAAAGGAGCAATTTCCATAGCCCCCATGTTAAAATGCCCAACTTTACAGCAGAAAAAAACATGTTTCTACCCCTGGCTCCATACATTTTATTATCGATATAGTTAGATTCCACCTTCATGATTATGGATCTGTGAGTGAATTGTTTTCTAACGCGACCCTTTTATTTATATTAGGTCTTAAAGTTTGTGCATAAATTAGGGCGTGGTCACATTGAGTGACGGCTCTGTCAAGTACCTGCCGCTGTTAGCTTCTTGTCTCTCTGCTAGCTGCTCCGTGAAGCTAGCTACAGGGACTCTGCCTGCTCAGCTCATCCAGGAAACACAACTTGTAGCCGGCCGTGGTTTTTTGTTCTTCATGCTTATATATCGGACTATTGTGACTCGCTCTGCGGTTAAAACACAGACGGTGCATGAATGCGGTTTTGCGGTAAGTTAAATTCTAGTGCTTTATTTATGTGTTAATGATTTTAATCAGCTACGTAATGAATGGTAAGGCTTGGGTTAGCATGTAAGCTAGAGGTAGCTACATCGGTGCTAACGATTGTAATCGTAGCCTCCAAGTTAAAATCATAGACTGTATATATAAAGGTTACAACGAAATAGACAAGTGTTAAGTGGGATAATACTGTTGAACAAACGGCTTCTGTTTGAGGTTGATAAAATAAGGTTACATCCTTGTAACTTAGAGATATTTTATTATGTAGGTAGAACTGTATGCATCTAAGGTTAATTTAAATTGGCTATGCTCAAGTATGTAGACAAGCTAATGTCGAAGTAGTGTATGTGAAATCAACCTCACAATAAGATGTGTATATTACAATTATTAATGTCATATTTCAAGATGATTACTTAGATATTACAATATGGTTGGTTGAGCTGGAGTTCATTATTAAGCTTACACGTTAACGTCACAGTCATCTGAAGAACGAACCCAAACCTTGTTGTTTTTATTAATTGCATTACCAAATGGGTATCAAATAAACAGTAAGCATTGGTAACACCAGTGCTTGAATTGGAATGAAAAAGGTGCCAGTACTCTAAAATCAGCAACTTTTTCAAGTCAATTTTATATATACAGCCCACAAACAAGAATTTGGCTACTATAATGCTGGTGGGTTTTACTACTGTATATTTTAGAAAGGTTCACTGTACTTAACATTTGTTATGATAGGCAGCGGATATGGCTAAAGCTCAGTAAGGTCAATATTAACTGAAAATATAGCAATCAAAGTCTAGATCTTCTGCTGAAGACACATGAAGCAGAGACCTTTCAGGTGAGAGCCCCTCTGGTGGTGTTCAACATTAATGACAAGGAAACAAAGCTCTGGTCAAAAGCATTTTTTATAAAAAGCTTTAACAAAATACAAGTATTTAACAAGTATTTCTGTACATTTTGAATGCAATCTAACTTTCCAACTCAGAAAACGAAAAAGTGCCAAAAGTCTTCTCACATGGCTGAGCTGCTTTGCAATATACTTCACCACTGAAGAATACAAATATGTATAAAGTAAACTATGATGCAATCTAACTTTCCAACTCAGAAAAATGATAAAGAGCATGAACAAAGAACATGTAAAAACAAATGCAACATTTGCACAATCTAAAATGAGAAACTGTAACTGCAAGTAACAAAGTCTGAGCCATGGTAAAGAGTTACATTGAACACCAAGCTGATCAGATAACTCCCTGGTTGGTCTGAAGTCCTTCTATCTCCAGGATCTGTACAAATCGGCACATTATGCCAAAAGTCTTCTCACTGGGTGAACTGCTTTGCAATATACTTCACATTGTTAGAAAAGGCTCCAGAAGGCCTTGGGGACATCAGTATCAGGGGCTGGAGCTGGACAGGCTCTTTCATCAGCACTTCTCCTTCCCTTTGCCAGCCAGGACCTCACATACTGTTCCGGATTGAACTGTCCTAGTGATGGTCCATTACATTTAATGAAAACCAGGCTGGACAGTCGGCTGACAGAGAGAGCATTCCTTTTTGCAGTAAGGATATCGTTCATGCAGCTGAATGCCCGCTCACACTCACTAGTGGAGACAGCGATGGTTCGGACTGCTTTCAGTAGAGGCTCCATGGCAGCAGGTGTACGGGATGCCCTGGTTTCCTTGTATTCGCGAAAGCCCTGAACAGTCTCTCTTCTGTCCACTTTCAGCACTTCGCACAAACGTAGCACCTCTATGTCCCCATACTGTACGTCTAACTCCTCTTCAGGCCAACTTCCAGGATGGATAACTTTCATGTCCTGGATTAGCTGATTGTCCCGGGCCTCCCGGCCATGTAATGGGATTTCTCTTGTGCTGACATGAGAGGAGGTTGTGGAAGTCATTCTGTGTCTCAGATTATCTACCATACTGCGGAAAAACTGACCTGCATGAATCTGTACAAGCCTGCCATTCTCACGCAGGGCAACACCCTTGAAGGACTTCTCAGCTAGAGCTGTATGAACTGTAGTCATGTGTGGGCCAGGCATGGTGACCATGGATTCAAAAACTCGTATTTCTCGAGTTAAGAGCCTATCTGCTGTAGGCAGTGTCATCTCTCTTTTTTGGAGTTGCCGAGAGAGGTCGCTGAGCTCTGTGAGCGCATCGTACATCAGTCCCAGATTGCTGACAAACGTTGCAGATGTGAGCACATCATCCAGGCCCTTGTACTTTGCTCTGTCTCTGGAATCCCTGCTCGTGTCGTTTGCAGCATTTGTGAAGTGATCATGAAGCACTCGGTAGTTTTCCCAGACTGCTCTGACGCTCCTTTCACTTGAAGCCACCCAGCGGATGGACAAAACACGCCCTATCACCAGGAGACGCTGTCCGACTGCTTGCGCACACTGCGCTAACTGCCTCTGATTTTTGGGGGAGGCATGGAACAAGGAATAGAGTTTGTCAAAAAAGATCTGGAAATGATTGAGCCCTGAGACCTCCTTGACCACATCCCCAACTGCCAGCTCTAGACGATGATTGGAGCAGTGCCACACAAACAGGCTTGGGAATTTACTACACAACTGGGTAGCAATGCCTGTTCTCTTCCCTAGCATGACTGAAGCCCCATCACATGCAAAAGAAACGAAACACTGACCTAAAAAGTCCTCGTTAAAATCTCTTCCAAGACACTCCATTAACGCCTTTGTGATGTCATCAGCCGTTGTTCCATCCAACTCGATCAGCTCCCAAAAAAACGTTTCGGGCTCAGCATCAGCTAATGCTGAGCGTAGACACACAACAAGCACCGTTTTACCACTAATAGTGGTAGATTCATCGACCAAAACACAGAGTTTTCTTTGGTTTTCTGTAATGTCTTTTGCCATTTTTTTCTTCAGCTCATGAGCTATGTGGTCGATGATTTCGCCACAGGTTTTATTGGAGTGCAAAACCCTGCCCACGTTCAGCCCATTCAGTTTCTGTACATTCAAATCAATTGGCATGTCTGTGAATGGCCGGCTATGTTTGCCAATTTT